CGAGTTCCTGGATAAAAGACTACTGTGAAATTGAACGTTTTGAAATGAGAATGCTTGTATCCCGCACGTTGTCCGCTTTCAGCCGAAATTCGATTGATTTCGGCCCGGGAAGGCGAGGAGCACCAGTATCTTCGCAGCCGTCTCACTCGCTAGCAGCAGACGCTGGTCCGACCACGCAACTTGCTTCCTCGCTTCCCCTTTACCGTAGCTACTCGTAGGCAGCTGGGTGTTCGACTCAACGAAGCCAATCAATGTGTATACGTCAGCGTTTTTGGTGGTTTTGGGTAGTTGTGTGGAATACTGCGAGGTCGGCCCAGTACAATAACGAGCGGCGTTTGGCGACGTAAGGGCAGAGACGGGAAATGGAGACAAAAAGTCAATATTTGAGGGTATTGTCGTGTTTTTTTATGTGCAAGCACCGTCAACTCCTCTATGTCACGTATTTTTGTGATTAAGGCCATAAATTGGCTTATAGGTTCCTCCGATTGCTGCCTCACACGGCGGAGCCCCGGGAAACGGGAGCGGACACAGGAGGACGGAAGGGTGAAGATGTAATTATGTGATCTTTTGCGTCGTTTCCCTTCCACACCGTCATTAAAGATGAAGAATGGTCGGCCATTTCTATTCATTAACCATTGTTGGACCGCATGGCAGCTTATGGTTTCCGTCGCTTCCTCTCCCCGTACCCAACTCCAACCATGGCATAGGTGGGCTAGCCAACCATGAGAGCATCGGCGGTTCGGACGCAGTTTCCACCGGGAGTATAAGAGGAGATTGGGCATGTGGCCGTTGTTCCATGCCCAATGAGGGCGTGGAGGACGTGAAGGTGTCAGAGTTGCCACCTCCCTCCTGGCGGGTCCCTGACAAGTCTCCTCCTGAGGGTAGCCCCATATCCTTCACACCCTCCATGCCGCACACCTCCACCTCTTTTCCTACCCCCCATCCTTCGGCTTCATCCATCGGTATGCCCGCGAGCGAGCTGGAGGGGGAAGAGGCAGGGTTCAAGCCTGGAGAAGGGAAGGAAGAGGAATGGGGCCTATGGCTGTTGAGGGAAGACTTGCTCCTGCTCCGTCGTGAGCCGCGTTGCAGGCATGTCTTTGTGCCCCTGACAGGAAGAAGAGGTCAGGACGTACCAGGAAAAGATGTGTCGGTGCCCAACCGGGCCTCTTCCCCTCTGTCCAGAGCCTCTCCTTCGATGGGAATAGCGTCCAGAACCTCAGGAGAGCCGCAGGCAACAGCGACCTCGGTCACCGCCAACACGATACCAGTCGCAGGCACGAATGCGGCAGCCCGTACCAAGGAGGACGGGCAGCTTTCGGGGCCACGTCGCACACCTGTACGCAGGACAAGAGCCAACTGCGTGAGTAACGGTCAGGAGCCTGCGTCTCAGGGAAGAGCGGAATTGGAGGGAGGCCTCCAGGGAGAAACGCCCGAGGGCTCGGCCGCCGCGATCTCCCCCCGCTTCCCGATCATGCCGGTGCCAATCGCCGACATTGGAGCGGGAGGGGCGAAGGCGGAGGAGGAGATGGGCGGCCCCAGGGCCGTCGACATCCAGGAGGGTAGTCAGGCCATTGGTGCGGCGGAGGCACGGCTCCCCTCGACGGCCGACAAGGGAAGTCTTTTGGGGGGGAAAGAGGGTTCCGGTTCGCTTTCGTCGACGAAGAAGGGGGCGCCGGAGGCGGAAGCCGAGAAGGGCAAGCCTTCCCACCGAGGGGATGGAGCCTCGCCCGGGCCTCAGAATCACGGCGACTCACGGTTCACGCGGAAGCGTGGCGATCCCTCCTCCCCGTCCTTCCCCTCGTCCTCCCTCCCTTCCTCCGTCGCTCCCTCCGTCCCTGCCTCCACACCACCCGCGACGTCACCCTCGGGACCGACGTCGGACGGAAACGCCGAAAAAGGCCGCAAGGCCGTGCCTGGGCCGAAGCCACGGGACCGGGAAACGACTTTAGCGCGTCCCTACGGCGGCTCGACGCGGGGGGGAGGGCTCTCGAAGAAGAAGAGAAGGGGGTCATCAGGGTCACCGCCATCGCCTCTGCCGCCAGAATCGCGGCCATGGGAGCTACAAGAGCCACCGGGACGGCGTTGGGGCGGGCTCAGTGCCCCCCCTAACGGAGCTTCGTTTCGTACCGCTGCAGCTTACCCGTCACCCCTGGCTCTTCCCCTCCCTCCCTCCCTTCCTCTGGCCCCTCCTTGTCGGAGCGCTCAGGAGATCGTGCGGCGACGGGTCTGGGTGCATGGTTTCCTCTTCGAAGACTTGGAGAAAGAGGCGCTCACGGCTTCCTTGCCTGCGGTTGCCCGTCTGGCTGTAGCCCCAACAGCCCCCTCCGGCAATCCTGCTGGGTCAGTACTCGTAGGAAACCTCGACGGGAAAATGCCATCCACAGCGACACATAGCAGGCCCAGATTCGACAAGAAAGTAGCGACGAGAACGACGGAAGCCACATCGACAGAAGTTATGGCAGTAACCTTTCCACAGGCAGAAGCGGCGGCACCGCCGACAGCATCTGACATGGAAATTGTCAGGGCGAGTGAAACGGGATCAAAGCCATCGCCTGGGGCAGCCACGACCGCAGGGACGCCGATCGGCGACACCATCTCGGTCACGACGGTGCGTGCCCAATCCACCGATCCAGGAGTCGATAGCGACGCGATCATGTCGGGGCAAAACGTGCTCGGACCCCCGCCACGGATGGCCACAGATCTCGTACGGAGGAATCCAACCGGAGCCCATGGGCCACTCCCCTTGGCAAGAACACAGGGCAGAGCGCCGGACCTGGATGTGGAATCACACGGCAGGGATGGTGTTGCGGACAGCGGCGAAGAAGGGAGGGAGGGAGGAGAGGAGGGAGGGAGGGAGGGAGGGAGGGAGGAAGGGGAAGAGGACAAGGCGGGTAAGGAGGACTTCTTTGTCTGGTTTCTCGACTCTCCCATGGCGCTGGACGCTTCACAACCCGTGCTCCACCCTCTTCTCCCCTCGCGAACGGGGGGGGGGGATCGAGGAAGCGCCAGGGTGGCATCAA